AATTTCACCTCACTTGTCTGAAAAAATTACCATCCACTTGAGTGTGTCCTGCAACAAGCACAAAGTAGTGCACATTAATGTCATTATGAACACTAAAATATACATGCTTTTGAATGATTAAGTTAGGACTATTCAATGAACCTTTTTAACATATAAATAGGAAAGGTTAAAGTTACAAAATAGCAACGAACTTTTTATTAAGTCCCATGGACTCATCGAGCCACTCCTCTTAGTCAAACGTTGACCAATTTTACAGGCACCATGCTGAAGTGATGTCTATGTGGTCAACTCAGCAAAAAAAAGTCACATTTCACATGACACCATGTGAATACTACATCATTCTGACTGATCAAAATTGGACCGACTAGTAAATTTAGATCAGTAACACAATTTTTGACAGTTATAAGGTACTCTTGAGTGAAATTAATGCAGACACATATGAATATGTGATATATTCTAGTTATTTTTTGCACAAATTGAAGTTTTTAAAGCTAATTATGTAGAGATCTGAGATCCAGTATCCACACCTATCATGGAGATTAGTTGGCTTAAGCTGTTGTAAATCTATCATCAGACATGCTTCTTGTGGTTGAAAAAGAAATAAAGTGCCTTCTTGTTGGAGACCTAGATGCTGAGAAGCTTGGAGGGGATCCGGGAGGTGTTAACTGAGGTATTCTTGATCGAGATGCTAACAACAGGCCTGGAGAAATGTGGGCCCTTGAGGCAGATAAGAGAAATTTTCCAAGTTTACCCCAAGTGATAGAAAAGCAATGCAAATTTATCAAACGAATTCTTTATGTAGCTCACCATCTGTCATAGGCTTGTCTAATAACTAATATTGGTGAAGCACATGAAGGCGGCTCAGTTTCTTCATCTTCTGAAACACATTACCTTTTATTACCATATAAAGTTCTTTTTTAGAATACAAATTCTTGAAGTTAAACTAGAAATTAAGTAACCTCCAACAAACGACTGAGATAAGCTTGAATTGTTTGACATAGTTGGTGCAACAACCGGGAATGTCACTGGCATGTAAGTAATGTTGAATTGTACTATCATATAGTTAAAGTTTAAAGTATGCTTATCTGCTCTTATTCAACACATGCAACAAAAGACATACTTCAAACCATATAACCAGTCTTTAATCTACCCAAAATCTTAAAGGAAAAACTCATAAAACTTCATTCTTCATCTTGAAGGGACATCATGAGTGTCTTCTTGGAGCTATGAAACTACATGAGTAATGAGTTACAAGACTAAGAATTAAGTTTAGGAATTAAAGAATTAATTATTGGTTTCACTTTTCTACACACTGTTTGGGGAACAATAAGGAATGAAGAGTATCATTCATCAAAAATTATACCACAATGTGATAACCCTAAACACTATATAAATCCAATAAGTTGCAATGGACAAGATGCATGTTACAAAAAAATAACATATAATGTTATACCAAAAAAGGTATACCATTGACTATACACTCGTTAAAATATTAATGACTTCTACTTATCACATGATGCTTGTTTACTATGTAGTTTAAGTTATAAAGAAAACCCCTACTAGTTGATGCTGATGAGTTATCCCAAGGTAACTACGACCTTATCATGTTTGATAAACAAAAGTTTAGAATTCCATAACTCAAGAGATTCATCTTCAACTAGAAAGATTGCAAATTCAAATTGCAATTACTTACAAAACTTTCTACTAAGATGTAGAGGTTTATAAAAATTTTCTACCAGGAGTCGACTAAAGGAACGGCTATCTGATTTTACAACTTCCATGGAATTATTGCACTCAAAGGCGCGGTTCAGATATAAAAACTGAAAAACAATAAAGAGAGCCAAATTCGGTGGTCAGAGTGAAGAAAATAATACCTAACTGAAGTCGAGTGGAGAATAGAGGGAGATTCGTTGGCCGGAGTTTAAATCTCCGATGCACAGTGGTGCGGCGTAGCAGCGGTGGTGATGCAATGTCGGAAGTGGAAGCAGTGAGCGGCGATGGCGGTTTTGTGGTGGTGTTAGGTATGGGAGAGAATAAGAGAGAAAAGAGAGTGACGAGATCGGGGGAAAATATTGTCCAAACTCTGCTCTCTAACACCTACGAAGTAAAAAAGACGCGTATAAGAAATTGGGGAAACATCAAATTTATTACTGTATTATGTTTTCTAGCAATAAACGCCGATTCATTTTCGTTGGGTTAATACAACCATGAATTTAATTTCTTTAGTGGCACAAAATAAATCAATAAAATCATCCCATACAACTTTAACGGTATATAAAAATATATGAGTATATGACACAAAATATAGAGTTTTAGTGACATTTTAACTTTTTATGTCATTATTAAATATTAATATTAGTGACATAAATTGTTAAGTGCCATTAAATCTATTAATTTTATAGTGGCATATAAATTATGCCACTAAAAACATACTATAGTGGCATAAAAATGATATGCCATTAAAAATATATGCCACTAAATATCATTTTTTTGTAATGACGAGAGAGTTAAGATCAACAAGTTCAATGGAAATGACTTCAATATCTAGTAGTGGAAAGGGCTTGTGCGAATTCTATCAACGATGAGAGTGTGAGATGCAAAATAGCTTAGATTTGTACATTAATCAACATAATGACCATCATTACGACACAGTTAGCAATGAGGTGGTCAATGACCACAACAACCGCCACAGGCTCAACATATGGAGGATGGTTGTTGAGCATGGATTTGCTTTTTAAAAAATGAAGCTTGTGGAACGGTAGAGCCATGTGTTGACTTAAGGAAGAGTTCATGACCTTTAGGTTAAGAGAGAAAATCGTGAAAGGTTGGTCTTGGTTTGATGGCACGGAGGGAAGTCGAAAAAGTTTAAAAAATGTGACCATGAACACACAGAAACCAAAAGGAATTGTCAACATCATCAATTGTGTGACCAATCGTAGATGGTTGGTCACAAAGGGTTTTAAATTTGTGACCATATCCAAAAGCTGTGAGTTTACCTTTTTTATTTGACACAAGGAGTAAATTATACATCTGTTCAATAGGATATTTCTAACGAGCTGCTTCAAGGGCACATCATACTTCATGAGCGGTTTTAAGTTCGAGGACTTCAACCATAGATTCTTTAGATAAAGATGAGTGAAGAAGAATGAGAACGCTGATCAGTTTATTTCAAGGAAAGAAAAGATAGATAGCGAACTTAGCCTCATTTCGCTGGAGAAAACTAAGTGGCACATGAGATAAACTAGTCGAAAGAGTCATCATGTAACAACGGGGTCTTAAAGATGTTTTTTTTCGTGTATCATATCATCAAACTTGCTACACCATCGTGTTTAAAGTTTTCATAATTCCACATGCTTCTCTTTTAACGGTGTAATGAAATTCATTGTATTATGTTCCATGTATTATGGGTACCGTATACTTTTCACTGTTCTTGGAACCGAAACAATATATGGAAAACGACACCATATGAGCTATGTTAGTTGTCAGATCAAAGGGTTACGGAGACCACCACCACCATTTTAAAGGTGTGTTATCAACATTTTATTTCTTTTTAGTGCTCGCATACCTATATTGTAATTGAAATCTTTAACATTCATCTTCAATCCTTAACAAGTTGATGTATGTTGGGCGTATCAATTTATCAAAAGGAGGTCTTGGTGAAGATAATATAGTCATATTTATGTATGCCGATATTCCGACTTATGAGGAAAACAAGCATAAGAGACGAATTTGCAGTTGTTGGTAATATGATGATGTGTACCCGGGAAAGGTATCCTAGAAGTATGCTTTTATTCATTTTCAATAAAATACTATTTCTTTTTTTAGTCAAAATGACTATTTTATACTCATGTGATAAGAAAACTTAAGAGGAGAGACATAGGATGAGGTAAAGGGATAGAGTGGTTCAAGGGTAATATTGAAAATTTATATATAAAATTACCACATAATGATAATTTTTTTCTTAATATCAAGTAAAAAACACTTATATATATAGTTGAACCATTAAGATTTTTATGCATTAAGTTCATTAAGTAAAAAAGAAACACGTGTCAAAAATGGTTCAGCTACAGCAGGTCAGCTGTGCTAAACAAATTAAGTAGCTGACCCATTTTTTTGACACATGTCACTTTTTGACTTAATGAACTTAATCCATAAATTTTTCAATGGTTTGGCTATATATAGTTGTTTCTTTTTTACTTGATATTAAGAAAATGTATTAGTAGATTAAGTTGGACAATAGATGTCCTTAGCCTTAAGTGGTAAATTTATGTATAAATTTCAAATATTACCCTTGAACTATTCTCTCCCTTTATTCTTAAGTTTTTCTTGTCGTATGAGTAAAAAATAGTTATTTGGCCTAAAAAAAGAAACAATATGTTAGAACTTTGGGTATAGAAAGGCTTGGAAATTCTGAGAATCGTGTTAAACACTTTCAAATTAAAGTATTTTGGTGGTACTCCCAATCTTTAATCGGATAAGACTCAGAAAATTGAGAAAACAGAAGAGAGAATGTTCAAGATGTTATGAAGAAGAAGTGTACCAACAACAGATTTCGAATATGATCATATAACCAGAAAACCTTCATGTTTTAAAACTGCCATATGACAGTTTTATGTCCTAAAAACTGTCCAAAAAAGGTCATAAACAAACTTAAATCCGGGGTCTAGAATATGGATCACAAAACCGGGTACATTTACAAAAAATCCAGATTTCTAATGCATTTACAAAAAATCCGGATTTCGACCCCAGCCAGGGGCTCTGCCCCTTGGACCACGCTCCCAGGGGCGCTGCCCCAGGAACCCTGTCGGTTCACGGGCTTCGCCCCTAAATAGCAGTATACTTTCAACAAAGATAAAATTAAACAAATGTGCACTCCGCACCATACCGATTTGTTTGTCAAAGTGACATTGATTAACAAATTAACCCCATTACACTTAAATAACATCAGTGATATAAAATCAACAACACAATATTTATAGAAAAGGGACCAAAGCATACTTCTAGGACACCGGGTACACATCATCACCTTTACAGTAACGGTAGATTCGTCCATCATACTTGTTTTCCTCGTGAGTCGCAATATCGTTGTAAATAAATTCCAATATATTATCGTCATTAAGACCTCCTTTTGATAAAATGTGGCAAGCCCGAAATACATCCGCCTATTAAAGATTGAAGATGTATGTTAAAGATTAAAGATTACAATATAGGTATGTGAGCACACAGACGAAATAAAATGTGGATAACACACTTCTCACCCTTTGGCGGTAGTCCTCGTAACCCTTTGATCCGAAAACTAACACCGCCAATCAGGTGACATTTCCTAATTCTTGTTTCAGATCCATTGACAGTGAAAAATAGATTGAACCAAAAAATCCATGGAATAATCAACCATAACCAAATTCTTCTTATATATATTTATTTGACTTTCTCTCCCTCTCGATCAAATACACAAACAGTCCGCATGTTTGTATTTATATTTCTCTTTAACTACTAATCCATAAACATTATGCTTTATTTATACTTTATAATTGTAACAAGATTTAGTTTGAGAAGAGTATGTCATCTGATACTCCATGATACTCCATTTGACTGTTGTTAGGGCTTGCTATGATGTTTTGAGGATTGTTCTGGAAAATGTAGCAAAATGTTGTGAGGTATGTGAATATATACATGATTATATTTCTCTTTCCCCTACAAGGTTTTGCTTTCTGTAACATTGTTCATCACTCTCATGTTACTGTTAGTGAAAAGATTAGAACGCAACATGTCAAGTCAATAAAGTTTAAGGAGGAATACATGATGTCATCTGGTTAACTCGTCAAGGAGTATATTGAAACTGTTGTGAGACATGTACTTCTGAGACATGTAAACCTTTTTGTTATATGTTTTATTTGTTTTCACCAATAAGATAAGTTCCTTTTGGATTAAATGCAAGATTTAACAACATATTCTAATTTCTTTGTTTATGATTTTACTGAACTTATTTTAATTTGTAATGATTTTTGTGTTCCAGGATGAAGGTCTAGGTCTGAAGATGACAAAGAGAAACACATAGTAAACAGTAAACACGAAACAAAGAAAAAATATTTTAGTGATGAAATAGTTACTCGTTTTTTATTATATAATGCTTCAAAATTTGAAGCATGAGTTCAAGAAACAAATTTAGGATAAAACCAATATATGAAGGCATGGTGTGTGTTTCTAGGGTTTTCTGAATAAATTTGTTTATATGAATATATTATCCCTGTTTGAGGTTTAGGTATCAAAATCGGGTTTCAGGGATGATTTTAGCCCCAATAGGCCGCTCCGATAAGATACTAGCTGGGTATCAGGGTAGATATGAGAACAATTTTCAGTTTTGGGTTCGGAGATGGGATTTCGGATTTCCTGTCCCCCACCCTATTTTCATTTGTAACAAGCCTTATAGGATATCTGGTGTCACAGGCTCCATTGATTACCAAAACTTTATTGTTGTTTTATCTACCTAAAGGATTTTTTTTAACATCCGACTAATAATATAGAAATATGTCTCTGTTTTTATAGGATTTGTAACTTTTCAAGTTTTGAGGCGAAAGCAAAATTTAATTCATAGTTTGTATCCATTCACGCCTAATTTGGGTTTTGTTACAAATTTTCATGTAGGAAAGCATTATTGGCGCCATGGAAATGGTGGAAGAAGGTCAAAATCAACCTAAAGTTCGAAGAAGTCATAAAGGAGGGGGGAGAAGATTGAATCAGTGCATTGCAAGATTGCTTGCTTGTTGAAATCCTGTCTCGTTTACCCTCTACAAAAGACTCCATTAGAACAGCTACGCTCTCCAGGCGATGGAAACATCTTTGGACTTCGGTACATACTCTCATTCTCGATAATGATAGTTATCAACTGTCGAATTTCATTTCGGTTGTCAACAAAATCCTACTTCAATGTCGCAATCTGAAGCTCAAGAAATTTGTGTTGTCTACCAGATATGATAATCGATTTGAAACGCAAATCAACATTTAGGTTCGTTATGCTATAAGTTGTGACATAGAAGAGTTTATCTTAAAGTTAGTATAAGAAAGTGGGAGCTCAATCCGTAACCTGTTTTCTATTGGATCAATTTTTCTTCATCAAAACATGCTTTACATATCTAACAATAGACACATGTGTACTGAATCTAATTAGGGCGATTAACTGGAAAAATCTTAGGAATTTGTGTATGTAATGTGTGAAAATATATGAAGATTTAATTGAAAACATATTATCGGGGAATCCTCTATTGGAAACGTTGGTATTGGAATTTTGTTATGGTTACAGGGGGATTCATATTACTTCAAAGAGTGTTAAAGAATTTGGTGTTCCATGGATCATATTATTGAAATCAACGCTCCTAATATTCTGTCAATAACAATCCAAGGTATTCTGTTATCGTCGAAGCTTTTGTTGGTAAATGTGTATTTTTCAATCAAAGCCAACTTAGATTATACAATGGGTGAGCATCAAGAGGAAAGGCATGGAGAAGTGTAAGAAGAGATGCTTAAAGAATTTATAGTAAACATTTCCCATGTCAAGGAGCTTAAAACTGTGTTCACATGTTCTGAGGTACAATTTTTTTTCGTTATATAATCATTAGCTTTAGTAGTACTTTATTGATTAGGTTTTCACAAACTCGTTTCGAGTATACTTAAGTTGAAGTCAATTTTTTTTAGAGAGTGTTTGTTTAGTGTCAAAGGCTCAAAGCAATGAATAAACAGGTAAGTAGTTTCTGTACAAGGAACTGACTCTTTGAAATAATTACAAAATCATCTAATTATCCCTAACTCTTATCAACAAATTATCCGATTATCTCTTCAAGTCACAATAATCACTATAAAAAAGCACACCTAAACACCCTTAAACTCGATATACATGCATTGTAAGTCGTGACACATATATGAACTTTTGGAGTCAAATTATGTTATAAGACAATACCTAAAGTAGCAAGAGATGCTTCAAGGATTGATACTAAATCTTCACCATGTTATGGAGCTTAAATGAGGTAAAAGATTTGTTCCTTCCACAATTTATGTCTTTGTAAAGATCTTATCAATATTAGCTTTATTAGTACTTCATTAAATATCATTTGATAAAATCGTCTCAAGTATATACTTAACTAAAATCAAAGATTTGTAATTAGAGGGGGTGTGGTTAAGGTGGGGTTTCTTTTTGAATTAATGGACTTAATGAGTTCAAAGCTTAACAGGGACATATATATAAAGAGTCATTTCTATTAGTGTATCCCACAGTTCCTTATGTCTCTATATATGTTGGTGTTTTCCTTCCATCTATAAAGACTCTTTTGGAGAGACTCCCTTATGTCTCTATATATGTTGGTGTTTTCCTTCCATCTATAAAGACTCTTTTGGAGAGACAGTATCAGACTCCATATATATCTTGCATTTTTTAAGTGGCTTTTATTTTTGACTTAACTCCTGTTACCTAGATCTATAGTTTGAACATTTTTTAAGTGACTTTTCTTTTGACTTAACTCCTGTTACGTATGTTCATGTTGATTTTCCATGGATTGTGTCTCATGCACACTTTTGTTATACCATCCAAACAAATATAGTCTATTGTTTCACTTAACATTTGTTCCGTAAATCTTTTGTTTGAATCATTGTTGTCAGTGAACAAAAGTAACGTTATCTGCAATTCCCATAATACTGTTCTCTTTAACTTATCGTTGCTTCACACATTAAAACACAAACAATCTATGCATAACATTTAAGTACATAATTTTTTTCCACTTTATTTAGATCAACTCCTGTATTATATAAAATATACTTCCCAATTCAAATCGACTAGTCACGAAATAACACAACGATTGGGATTTTCCTCGATAGTAACATAGTAACCATGTGATGTACACGGATTATATTGAACCTGACACTTTGGTTCATTTTGTTTGGATTTGGTTTCAACCTTTTGGTTTTTAGCTGGCTCAACGATTAAAATTTGTGTGTGGCAAACCTTTGTTAGTTTCTTGTAGCCACATACCGGATTAACAACGCCCACAATTGTCAGTTTCTTGTCTTTCATGTTCATATCTATGGATTGAATCCCTACATTATATAAATATATTTTTGAATTAAGAAACTCAATCAAATATGAAGGTACAAAAGTGTATTTTAAGCAACTGAACGCACAAAACTCACCTTCAAGGCTTGAAATTGCCTTCATAGCCTTCCTTTTACATTTATCGTCATGTACTCCCACTCCATAGACCACTTTCTGTATTCAAATTTAATAAGCGGAAAATGTAAAGAATTCTTTTTGATCAATTGACGAAATTATCATAACTAAAAGAACATTGTATTGCCGTTTTTGACCTTGGGTTCGGCCATTTGGATGGTAGTGATGAATCAAGAAAAAGGCGGGACTTTAAATTCAAGACATCTTTTGTGTGATGATATGATCATTAGTGTTTGTAATTGTGTGTGTGCTTTATAGGAAAAGAAGCAAAGGTATGGTGTTTGCATATTCCTTTTTCAACAAGTAATTACAAAAATGAAGAAATATTTAGTATAATCATTGTCAGTAAGCATTAATAATAAATAAAAATGGTCATTTCTGCAAATGTCAAACGATAAATGATCTAAATGGTTTATTAACTGTTTGCATATTCCTTGTCAATCAAATAATTACAAAACCAAAAATTATTTAATACAATCGTTAATAAAATATTAAAATGGTGAGTTGTCATATGTCACTGGAACCATGAAGGACATACATTTTTTATTAGTAAGATACATCGTACAAAGTATAATTTTAAAAAATAAATATAAATTGTTATCCTGTAAATCATACATTATTAAAGTCACTTTTGTAGAAGGATATTCATAAAAATGACAGACATGATTAATTGATTATGTAGGATTAATGTAAATGGCACCAATTACGATCGAAATGGGTCATTTTGGGTTCCGGATTGTATATAATTTGTAGTTTTTTCTCAATTGCACCATACGTTTGCCAACTATTCTCTCTTCCCCTAAAATCCGAAATGTTTACCAATCACCAATTTTCTCAACTAAATGACATCTTTTCTTGTATCGAAATCTACTTTAATTTTGATATGTTTTTTTTTTTTTTTTTTGACAAAATTCGGTAAAAAACGAAGCATTTTAGAATTGTTCTTCGGATTTCAAATTCTGAACTTTTTAACTTCTTTTGCAATGTTTGGTAACCAAAAATCCGGAATCCTAATTTCGAATTCAAAATGTTCTTTTCATTGTAAGAAATTTATGCGATGCAAAACTAATACCAAGCAAAAAAAGGACTCCAAAACACGAGGTTTTGGAGTTGGTGGTCATTTCGAAAATAAAAAATATTGGCCCCTTACAAGAAATCTCAATAATTATGTGGTCTAGTGAATATTTAATAATAATATTATTATTATTATTATTTATTTTTTTTGTTTGTTTTAAACACGTCATTATTACCGTACCGGTTATTGTAGTTCTAACCGATTCTTTGGTATAAGTTGATTATTGATACTTATGAGGCACATCCAACAAATCGTCGGTCAACATCGATTTTCAGCCAATATTCCTTAGGTCGGACGGAATGGAAGCGGGAAATGGGAGAGATCACTGGAACACCATCCCTTGGGTGAGGGGAGCAACCCGCGGGAAAGAGGTGGGGGGAGGGGGTGCCGCACTCTCTCTCCTCATGCTATTGGGCAGTTTTTTTTTCTTTTTTTTTTCTTTTTGTTTTTTTTTTGTTTTTTTTTATCTTTTTTAATATTTATAAAATTATATACCTACTAAAAAAATATAAAAAATATATCAAAATTCATGGTTTTTAATTCTCTACAAAATGAGTATAATATATGTATGAAATATATTATTTAAAAAAAAATAAAAAAATAGTGAGGGGAGCTTCCCACTCATTCCTTGGGTTTTAGGTGAGGGAAAGCAAAGTGAGGGAAAGAGTGGTGTGGCCCACAAAAAGTGAGGAAAACATCCCTCCCATACCCTCCAGTCTTAAAACTAGGGTTGTTCACTACTCGGATAAAACTAAATTATCCAATTGAACAATTTGGATTGTACTATTTGGTTTGGATATTTGTATTTTTGGATTGGTTTTCAACAAAACCGAATTATTATTTTGGATTTCGGATTTGTTTTGGTTTATAAAATAAGAACCGAATAGTCCAAAAAAACCGAACAAACATTTATTATTTATCTATTTATAATATATACTTATAGTTATTTATGAAATTTGTAATTTATTTTTTCAAATAAGTTTAAAACGTTTCAACCGATAAAAAAACATTAATATGCATTTTCTCTCAAAAGTCTTTTATCTATAATATATTTAACTATAATATATTTTCTTATTTGTTGTTTATAAATTTCAAATCACAACTAAATAATTTGTTTTTGCTTCTTGTGTAAAGTTGGGTAATATTATAATTATATGACGTTTTAAAATGTTTCGGTTTTTGAAAACCGAATTATAAAAACCGATCCAACGGAATTGTAATTGGATCGGATCGAATCGGATTTGAATTTAGTTTGGACTATTCGGATCCATGTTTTGAAAACCGAAATCAAATTGGATTCACTTGATTGGATCGAATCAAAACGATCCATCCAAACGAACACCCTTACTTAAAACCATACCTTACTCTTCTAGCAACACATGAGTTCCGTAATTACAAGATTGTAATAGCGAATTTTCCAAAATAATTATCAAATATCCAAAAGACTTCACAAACTCATCTAAGCGCACACATGTCAATTGCCCAATATTTCTACAAGAACCATCTATATAAATAAATCCATGTCGTTTCTAAAACTGATGAACCCAATTTGGAATTTTCGGATTTTAGTTGTTTTTGTATCTTTAAATTGACCCATATTTTTGTCTATGTCTATTTTATTAAGTCACAATCTCCTCGCCGTATTTGCATTACCAAAAGAGAATATATACAAGAGTATCATGGGCCAAGTATACAATGGGCCAATACAATAACTAAATACAATATGATACAGAATACAACGTGGTCTGCTAACATCCCCCCATAGTTTGATCGGGAGGAGAATTCCGGACGTTCAAACTGAATTTGAAATCATTAAAGAGTTGCGTCGGAAGACCTTTGGTGAAGATGTCGGCATACTGAGCGGAAGACGGTACATGAAAAACACGAACAGTACCACGAGCGACCAGATCACGAACAAAATGTATATCAATCTCAATGTGCTTCGTGCGCTGGTGCTGAACTGGGTTCGATGTCATGTAGACAGAGCTGATATTATCACAATAAATGATCGTAGGTTTGGAGGGCGGACACCGAAGCTCACGAAGAAGATTACGTACCCAACAAGTCTCGGCAACAGCATTTGCGACGCCACGATACTCAGCCTCGGCACTGGACTGAGAAATAGTGCCTTGCCGTTTAAACGACCATGATATCAAATTATCTCCAAGGAAAACACAGTAACCAGAAGTGGAGCGGCGAGAGACAGGGCATCCCCCCAGTCATGCATCAGAGTAAGCACAAAGATCGGACGTGGGAGAAACGTGAAGCTGCAAGCCATGGTCAATTGTGCCACGAATGTATCGCAAGATACGCTTAAGTGCATGAAGATGTGGCTCCCGTCGGTCATGCATAAAGAGACAAATCTTCTGCACCGCAAAGCAATGTCTGATCTAGTGAAAGTGAGGTACTGAAGAGCACCGGCAAGGCTGCGATATAGAGATGGATCCGCCACAAGAGGTCCATTGGCATCCAACTTATGAGTAGTCTCGGCGGGAGTACGAGCTGGATTGCACTAGAGCATATTGGCCCGCTGAAGTATCTCCGTTGCATATTTTCTCTGAGAGAGAAAGAGACCATGAGACGAGCGGGTGGCGGATATTCCCAAAAAGTAATTAAGAGCCCCAAGACCAGTCATATAAAACTCAGTGTTGAGCTGAGCAATAATGGAGTTAAGGAGAGTTGGAGAAGAAGCAGACAGAATAATGTCATCAACATATAGCAGGAGATATGCAATATCCGATCCGTGATGATATATAAAGAGTGAAGAATCAGTTTAGCTGTCCTGAAAACCCAGGTGAAGATCATGTTTAGCAAACCGCTGATACGAGGCTCTAGGGGCTTGTTTCAAACCATATAGGGACCGCTGTAGATGACAAACATAATCTGGATGTTGCGGGTCTCGAAATCCCGGGGGTTGGTGCATGTACACTGTCTCCTGAAGATGACCGTGAAGGAAAGCATTCTTCACATCAAGCTGATGAATGGGCCAGTGTCGGGAAACAGCTAAGCTGAGAACAGTACGAATAGTTGCCGGTTTGACCACCTGACTAAATGTTTCATCACAATCGATCCCCTGTTGCTGACTCCGACCATTCGCCACAAGGCGCGCTTTATAGCGATATAAGGAACCATCAACATTAAATTTCTGTTTAAATAACCACATAGAACGCACCACATTGGCTCCCGGTGGACGTGGCACAAGAACCCAAGTACCGTTAGTAATAAGAGCATTATATTCCTCATTCATGGCTTTATGCCAATTTGGATCTTTCAAAGCCTGTATGTGTGACCTCGGGACAGAGGAAATGGAGGTGGAGTGGAGGTTTAAGCGATCAATGGGTTTCACGATGCCACTTCGAGATCGAATGTGCATGTGATGAGTTGGAGGAGGGGGTGGAGGTGGAGGTGGATCCTCGTGAGGAGGAGATGGAGGTGAATGGGGTGGGGTTGGTTCAGTGTCATGTGTATGGGGAGTAGTAGGGGAGTCAGGTGTGGAACTGATGGGGGGTAAGATTTGATGGAGATTAGGGGAAGGATCTAAATCAGACAGAAAATCATAAGAGGGAGGTTCGGTGGGGGTGACTGAACCATACGGGAAGATAGACTCATCAAAGGTAACATGACGAGATATAATGATCTTTCGAGATGAGAGATCAAAGCAACGGAAACCCCGATGGTGAGTGGGGTAACCAAGAAAAATGCATGGTGTGGAACGGGGCTGAAGTTTGTGAGTTGTGTGAAGTTGGGGAAAGCAGAGACAACCAAATACACGCAAGTGGTCATATGTGGGATGACGTCGAAAGAGGCGGTAGTGAGGAGCTTCATTAGAGATAGAGGTAGAGGGAAGGAGATTAAGTAGGTGGACAGCCATGTGGAGTGCCTCGGGCCAAAAAGATGGAGGCAGGTGAGAATGAAACATAAGAGTTCGCATCATGTTATTGATGGTGCGAATCATGCGTTCAGATCTTCCATTTTGTTGAGAGGTGTGAGGACACGAGAAATAAAAAAGAATGCCACATGAGGCAAAATGGTCGTGAAAAAGTTTGTTGTTGTACTCCCCCCCATTGTCACATTGGAGTTGTTTTATGGTACCCCCAAATTGAGTTTGGATAATATTAGAGAAGTGTAAAAATGTTTGAAAAACTTCAGATTTGTGTTGTATGGGATATACCCAAAGATAGTGAGTGTAATGATCAAGAAACATACTAGAAATAGGAGATGTCCATACATCACAATGAATAATCTCAAAAGGTTCAGAAACAGTAGAATTAGACAAATGAAATGGAAGTCTAATATGTTTGCCAAGTTGACAAGCATGACAAGTAACATTATTTTTTGGTAAACGACAAGAAATAGAACTAGTAGAAAGTAAATGCTTCAAGACTTGATCGCCAGGATGACCGAGTCGTTGATGCCAAGTGGTTGAAGAGGTGGCGGTGAATGCATGACTTGTGGATCTGGTGACATGATAGAGACGCCCAGGGCTGTCACAAAGGATGAGAGGATGACGAGTCTGATAATCAAGAATGGTAAAACCGTAAGGATTAAAATCAATGGAATAATTGTTATGCGTAGTAAACTTGCGAATAGAAATGAGATTTTTTATAATATTTGGTGTAATGAGGACATTTTGTAGGTGAAGAGTGCGATAAATATTTGGGACATGAAAAATGGAATGTCCCGATGTCACAACAGGTATTGCAGATCCATTACCGACATAAATAGAACGAGGAGAATAATGATTATTAGATACAAAATTTAGTATACCTGTATTTGTGTGAACATGGTCAGTTGCGCCAGTATCCATGACCCATCCGCTATTTCCCGGGTCATTTAAAGTCATGGCAAATACGGAAGTGATGTGGGCTGATCGCTGCCTAACCAGGCCCAGGGAGGCTGATTTGGGCCAGAAGACTGCATATGGGCATGTGGGGTACTTGCTGATGGCGTAGGGGGCCTGCTTCCAAGAAGACCTGGGCTATTGGAGGTGGGTTTTCCCCAAAATGGGCTGCTATGAGGAGCCGGCTGTGAAAGTGAGCGGGAGTTGGCCCACGGGTGTTGGTTTTGACCGAAAGCGGTCCATGAGTGATGATCGGAAGCGGGCGGTGGAATATATACCCACCCATATTGGTTGTTGTGAGGCGGTGGACCTGCAGCGAAGGGAGGACCCTGTTGTCGGCGCCGATAGTTGTGACGACCTCCTCCACGACGGGCGGAATTCCCACGGTATGAACTGCCCCCACCCCCATGAGTTGGCGACGGGGATGAGGTGGCAGCGTGAAGAAGGGAGGGAGCGGAGCTGTGGTTTCTGTGAGACTGAACGGTGAGACGGGAATTGTTGATTCTCGTTTCTTCAACTAGTAACATGGATCTCATCTCGGAGAGAGTGGGTATGGGTTTGGAGAACCGAATAACACCTGCAACAGTGTCATATTTGCTCGGGAGGCCGTTTAGAGCATGAAGTACAACAGTTCGGTCTTTCATCTTTTCGCCAAGTCCCTCCAGTAAATTTGTTGTCTTCTTGATTCTCTCAAAGTACTCATGAATAGTTGAGTCCCCCAGTGTGATGTTTCTCAACTCATTCTCTAGATGCATGGCTGTGGATTCGACATCATCATAGAAGAGAGCATGTAAGTTCAGCCATATCTTGCGAGCCGTTGCTTTAATGGAGTAGGCGGAAGTAATGAGTTTTTGAGATACAGATCCGAAAGCCATAGTTTGACAATCTGATCGAGTTCTTCCCATTCTGTGGTCGTAGGGGGAGTTTGGAGGTCCATAAGTTGAGTCGATGTGGTTAGCAACACCATACGCAATACAGCGAGCATGAAAGAGGTCGCTCCATGGTTCATAGTTACGGGCTGTGAGATCGAGAATTAATGAGAGGTACGTAGGTTTTAATATTGGTGATACCATACGCTTTATGTGGAGGTTTAATACTGGAACTGCTGTCGCCTGTCATGGAGATGAAGCAAGAAGGAGAAGAAGAAGACAGAACACGAAGAAAGAAGAGGGAGGGAAGATACAGGAATCGGCTAGGGTTGAGAGTTATGTCTCTGATACCATATTAAGTCACAATCTCCTTAGCGTATTTGCATTACCAAAGGAGAATATATACAAGAGTATCATGGGCCAAATATACAATGGGCCAATACAATAACTAAATACAATATGATACATAATACAACGTGGTCTGCTAACATATTTATGTCTATTTGTCCCGATCGTACAAATGTGATGCTTTTGATTTATGATTTTAAAAAAAAACCTAGTTGATATGAAAATTGGTAGTTGTAAATTTGAAGTTGAAACTGTAGTTTTTATTTATATATAAGGGCGTGTTCGGCAAAGAGCGTTTGAAAGCTTCTAATTTTTAGCGTTTGACAAAACGCTCCATTTTGAATAGAAAGTCTCGTTTAGCACTATAAGATTCTAGTGTTTAGTTTAAACAAAACATTCCAAATCCAAAAACTACTTCACGTGGCGTTTAACAAAACGCTACAAGTTACAAGCTACCCGCTATCCAAAATAGATGTTATATTTTAAAATTTTAAAATTACATAAAAACTAAAAACTAAAACTCTTAAAAGCTATTTGAATTAAGTTTTGGATTATAATTTTTTTGTTTAAACTAAAAACTAAAAGTTCATACTAACAAAGGAAACATTTTCTTTAATTCGAGTTTTTTCTAAAAACCTAAAAATTAAATACTCATAAAAGCTGATTGTCGAACATGCCCTTAAGCTTCTAAAAATGGGTTGTTGATTTTAATGAATGTCTTAATTAATATTTTGATTTTACAAAGCAATCATCTCTCTACTGTTCTTGATGCTATGGAGTATACACCCAATGTAACTGTTGTGGTGATGACATGTACAGGGGGTCACAACGTGCACACTGCACCGACACCGCACCCTATGGCGTGGTGCAAGGAAGGTATGAGAGGGCGTGACCATGTCCTACTCTTCTTTCTCATCTCTCTTATATTCATTAGGAATATTAGGACTTTGTACAATAGAAATAATTGCATATAAGATCATCCGGACCACCCACCACTAACCACTAATGCGGTGGGCATCACCTCATAACCACATACAACCAATAACACTTGGTATACCTGCCATCAAAACACAACTCCATATCAATTTTTTTAATTAAAATTAAATAAAAAACACAATAAAGAACATATATTTTTTTAAACTAGTTTTTCATTCATTAAAAAAAATACGACACTAATTATTAGAAAAATACGGGAATAAAAAAAAAAGACAAAAAACAACATAAAAATTCCAAACATAAAAAAATTAATCTTCGTTCACGTTGTTTTGGTACAAATGCTCTGTGACGTCTTCTCGAAGATTGAAACACGTTTCACTATTATGAATTTCAACAACTCTTGCTAAATATTCAGTCGTTCCGGGTACAAACTCTTGAACCGGGTTACCTACGTCGTTCGCATCATACATGCAAATCACTCGACCTTTATGTTCAATAATCATATTATGCATTATAATACATGCATACAATATTTGTTTTGTTCTATCCATATTTCAGAGTCGTGTAGCGTATTTCAGTAAATGCCATGTCTTCTTGAGGACTCCAAATGCCCTCCCTATATCCTTTGTAGCAGATTCATGTTTTTTTGTCAACAATTTTTCCTTTTCAGCTCGAGGTGTCGAGTATGCCTTCATAAAGGTATCGTAATTTGGGTATATCACATCACAAAGGTAGTAACAATATTTGTACGAATGTCCGTTCACCGTGAAAGACATATCAGGTGCTTTGTCGGTCCATATATCGTTGAAAATAGGGGACTAGCCAAGAACATTACGATCATTGTTAGACCCTACAACTCCAAAGAACGAATGTCATATTTACAAATCATGCGATGCAAAAGCTTCTAGTATTATAATCGGCTCACCTATATCACCTCGAGTAAATTGACCGCACCACACAGTTGGACATTTTTCCCATGCAACATGCGTAAAATCAAGGCTACCAATCATTCCTGGAAATCCATGTCTCTCTTCATGTGCCAAATACAATATCTCAATATTACGTGCAATAGGTTTGCACAAATATTCTTCGTGAAAATACTCATTTACATATGCACGAAAATAATCTACACACTCAATTGCGGTCCTCTCGGATATTCTCAAGTAACCGTCTGATGCATCAAAAGCTATATCATATCCTAAATATCTAAGTGCATCCGCACATTTTTGTATTGTACTAAAGTCAATTTTACCTCTATCATCAGGTTTTTGCTTAAAATAATCATATCTCGCCTCTAAATATTGCTAATACATAAAAATAATGCCTTATTCAGACGAAGACGAAGTTCGAATGCCACATCATTATAAACACAATTATCAGAAAAATAATCATGAATAGTTCATGTGCGGCTTGACGATCTCGATTAACAACCGCTCTTTTACACGTAACATTCGTATGGTCTTCATTGTCTATGTGTTGTACAACATTAAAGAATGTTTGTACAAATTTTCCATAATCATCCGAATCAAAATTTATAAAAAAAAACAATCTAAGTGATATTTTAGAGAGTATAAAAGAAAAAAGAATGGTTTTAAAATATGATGGTCGAATATTGTATTTATAGTAAAATTTTTATTAAAACAACATGTGTTTGATCATTCACTGGTCCCTTCCTTTCATTGGTCATGCACGTCTCTCCTCTCCAATATAATTCTCCACGACAACGACGAACCACGAAGGGTCGGGATGACGTTCGTGGTCGTGCTTCGTGCCAAGGTGGACGACGGAGCCCTCCCTTGAGGGTACTCCAGATTGTCCAACAAAAACCAAAAGGTTGAACTGCGGTAATACTAGAAAAACCATGAAATTGAGTAAGTGGTCGTTTTGGTATTAAAACTAAAAGATATCTTGTAAATAAATAAAATAGTAAATAGAAGTCAAAGTTATTGTACAAAAAAATAAAAAGAAAATTGAAGTGGGATGGTTGCCTAAAAATTATATGGAACTGGTGTGGTGATCTTGTTAACTTGATCAAGAACATCAAGGGCCTCACCCCTGCTCCTCACCATCCGGAGAAACAATTCCCTCACCTGCATCTGCAACGGCATTAACCCATCCTCCATCCTCCGACATATCTCACCCATCTCCACCACTTGCGCCGCCACCTCCTCCGCCTTCTCCTCCTCTACTGGGAATGTAAACCCGTCTGCAAATTCCACCAAATTCTGCCCCAATTTCTCCAGTCTCTGTGTCTCCTCCAACAACCCACTCCGTCCTTTCTTCTCCTTCTTCTTCCAGTCCTCTGCAATCTTTTCTTGCAGCCCGTTCATCGGATGTGCCCACGGAAATTGCTTCGGTATCTGCGAATGAGCCCCCAGCCCTGTCCTTTCTTGACATGGAATCGCCGCCACCATTGCCCACATCACGAAAACCAAAACGGAGCTCATTAAGTAAACAGGTACGACCAAACCCGTCGGCTCGCCGCCGCGTGGCGCTGCCAGATTCGAGGACATAGCCTGGATTTGCTTGGAGGCTGACCATGACTTGGCGAATGAATAGGATAACGATCTTAGGTTTCCGATTGTTTCCTGATCTTTCGACGCTGCGTATTTTCCGCTGTGATGGTGGTTCTCCTTGTCGTCGATGGTGATCGAAGATAGTAATGTATCCAATGCCTTTTTTGCCCTTTTGACGTTCCCTTCTCCGAATGGTCGTTGCTGAAGAGAATCAACGGCAATCTGGGCGAGCTTCTGCCAATGTAAAAGCAGATCGATTCCATGAGTAATCGCATTGCAGATATCTAGAGCTTTAACCGACCGATCAAGGTGCTCCGGGATAAGGCGGTCGAGTGGGGATTTAGCGAAGGTGGCAGGGTCACGGCCCATGATGACAACCGCCTTGAATTCTGCCTCGCAACATAGAAATGCGTCAAGAAGCTTACGAAACCAGGCAATGGATAAGAGTGTCTCCGGTGGATCATCGGGTGCTATGTCTTCTGTGGGAAGGTGGAAGAGTTCGGTAAGGCGGTCGGCGACGTGTTTCTGGAATTGTTCGAGGTCTTCGACATCATGCTCGTAGACTACTTGATTTCGCCGGATGCTTATACGGTTGAGAAAAGATCCTTGGTTGTCCGTCGGCGGCATTGTTGCAGGTGTGTTCTTGATACCGGAAAATTTGTAATTGAAGAAAGAATAAAAGAGGTCATTGAGGGAGAGGAAAATACGGTGGATATGATCGATATGAATGGTACTGCTGCATCACGCACTTGTTTTAATTTTATTTAATTTAACTAGCTTTTTATCTTAATTTCTTTGAATAAATGAAAAAAAAGTTGGATGTTATTGAAGGGACAAAAAAAAAAAAGGTTTAGTTTAAAACAAACTCCATGGAATTTTGTGAAACAGTCCCTCGTAAAAAGGAAAATTACCAAAAAGTTACATGTGCTATATTGTTTTCTCTACCTTTTGATTAAAAGGTTTTATCATTATAAAAATTATTTTAAAAAGTTTCATTTTCATAATTTCATTTGACAGAATTTCATTATAACTAGTGAAACCCGGCACACCGTTATCACGGATTTGAATGAGTTTTGGTAGTGAGACATTGTCCATGTTTTTCTTCTTTCGTATGTGCAAACCGAAAATGTATAACTTTAATTTACATAAGTAGACTATAATATGACAATAGAGAAGCATCATGCATCTTAGTAACGTTGAACATGTCTTATTTATCAACAAAAAGTGACCTTCAGATTCATTTCCTCCAATACGTCTACAACAATAATAATCAATCAATTGTATTCAGATTTTAAAAAGCACAGAAAAAAAAAATGATGATGAATTTGTACAACATACGCTGTTCAGAACATTTGTGATGATGAATTTGTGGCAAATTACAATCTTCGGGCAATTTAAACGATGATGCTCTAAAACCATTCTTTAAAGAATTGTCAAAAGATTGTAATTTGCCAACAACTTGAACAGTAGAACAATAGTTCACTTTCTAACCATTCACCGGAAGATTGTATAATTTGTATGTCAAACCTTGTATCGTTCATGTAGTCGGTTGCGCAAGGGATGCACGTTTAGACCGGAAAACCGAATCGGAACCGAAACACATCAGAACCGGAACCAAATTACGACCGAATAAGGTATCCAGCTCATTTCCCGGTTTTGTAAATCGAGCTTATTTGGTAATCCGATATTTCGGTCCGGTTCTTAGATTTTCAGGATTAATCGGTTAAAAAAACAGGAACTCAGATTCGAAGGGTCTTTTATCCCTCGTTTGATCGAACAAATACCCACGCACGCTCCTTTCCTTCTGCTTTCTGACCTCTATGATTGAACAAAACCAAAAATATCTATTGTTCCATTTTTTATGTGAACTTACATATCAACAAAAATATTATGTTCTGCTAATTTCAATGTTTTTTTGAACCTATGAAAAGAAATAAAACGAGCCAAGCAATAAATAGATGAACATGTACGTGCTTCTACGAGAAACCATGTAAAGCCTCCAGATCTGATGTAAGAACCATATTGTCTTCCTTTATCTTCTATTCTATATACAATCAAGTCTCATATATCTGAAAAAATTGTTTACAAATCAAATACCTTTTTAAAATTATAGAAGGGAACATAAAGAATCAAATAGCTTTAAAGTTATACTAACAATATTTAAAACCTAATCTGACAAACAAAGGAACGAAAATCATAGCAAATAAATCGTTTTTTTTTTTTTTTTTTGGTAATCAGTACCAGTTCATATACAAACATTTAAAATTGCAATTTACCTGAAAAGGTTTCAACAAATGATGAAACCAAAACGTTGATGGCACCAACAAAAATTTTTAAATTCCTCCTCCATCTTCAATAACAAAAAAATATACTCCATAATTGTACATTATATTTTTTTCGAAATACGAGTTGTTCATAAAGAGAATAAGTTGGTGTTTATTTTTTAAAAAAAGCTCTTCAAACCACTTTGTGATGCGCGACGCAGCACAAGCGCAACAAATTTTATCCCGCAACAGTTTGTTTTTTCGCAGACTTCGAAATTAAAAACCTTTGCGCGTATACTGTTTGGACAACATTGATATCCTTCTTCTAACCTCTTCAAACCTAAACCTAAAAAAAATCGGCTACACCCCATCAAAATAAAAAGTGCCGCATATACTTTTCTTCCACCATCGGAATCATCGATCGCAAGAAGCGGCCTCTCTACAGCCCTACCATCGCACCTCCCACCGGCGTTCCCTCCTCCCGGCGCAGCCCCCACCGGTCGCCCTCTCCTTCCATCGGCGGCGGTTTTTTGAGGTTTTTTTTTTTTTTTTTTTTTTTTTCTGCTGCTGAAGGCAACGATTATGCATAGGTTTATATTGAGTTTTTTGATTTTCTTGCTGGAGCAACTTCATCTTTCATGCTTCATCTTAATTTTCCGATTTGTGTTGTTGAATCATTGTTGATATCTTTTTTCTTGCTCAATCTTGATGCTAATGTTATCAAATCTTTGATGATGTTGTTTTTATCTAAATTAATGATAAGTTCTTGTTGCAATGTCTTAAATTTATGCTTAAATGTCACATATTCTACTGAAATGTCATTAATGGATGCTGAAATGTCATAAAATGTTGCTGAATTGTCATGAATTGTTGCTGAAATGTCATGAAATGTTGCTGAATGTCATAAAATGTTGCTGAATTGCTGAAATGTCATAAAATGTTGCTGAATTGTCACGAATTGTTGCCGAAATGTCATGAAATGTTGCTGAAATGTCATATAATGTTGCTAAATTGCTGAAATGTCATAAATGTTGTTGAATTGTCATGAATTGTTGCTGAAATGTCACGAAATGTTGCTGAAATGTCATAAAATGTTGCTGAAGTGTCATAATTGTTGCTGAAATGTGAATAATCTTTGCTGAAATTCGTTAGTTTAATCAATACAAGTTGTTGTTATGCTGAAAGTTGTTGTTATAAGGTTTTGTTTGCTAAAGTTGTAGAGTCGAAATATCTTGTAATATGTCGAAGTCTGTGTAATAGATAGTTTCGTATGTTTCCTTATGTATTTGCTAAGACATCTTTTTGACGAAGCTTAATGTCTAGCCTTAGTATTTTTTTTTGTATTTTCAGCCTCCTATAAATAGGAGCTGAACATAGAGTTGATAGTAGAGTTTTCCCATCATTTACTATCAGTTTTGTACTCTTGTTCTCTGAAAGTAATATGAGCTAAACCAGACCTTATTTACTTCTTGTGTTCATCTTTTACTCTGATTTGATTCTCATACTTGATTAAACACTTCTACAATTGGTATCAGAGTAGGAATCAATACTGCAAAGATCTGATTTTCAATTGAATCTCTAGTTTTTGAGTCGCGAATTTGTCTCAAAAGTTTCCGCACTGTTTGATTCTGAAAATCATTTCTGATCTACAGTTTTGATTTGATTCTGCGTTTGAATTGTGTAATCGAGTGATCGATTTTGAGTTTCTGATCAATTCATTCATTCAATTTCAAATTTCTTCAAGTTCTTCTGAAAAAACTCATCCGTACGTTAATGGCGAATTTCAACATGAACACGATGACTTCATTTTCTCATCTGTTAGGATCTTCTACGAAGATTCCTATGTTGATTCCAGAGTACTATGATCAGTGGGCTGATCGAATAGAAGATTACTTGAACGGATTGGACGAGGAACTCTGGAGCTGTATTACAGGAATTGCTCAACCTCCGTCAAATGTTCAAAATATCGGATCATCTGGATCATCATCCTCTGTTACTAATCAATCCACTAGACTGAAGAACAACGAAAAGCGTTGTTTGAGAGAATTACGAGGTGCCTTGCCACCTGTTGTTTACAATTACATCCGTGGTTGTAAAACTGCAAAGGAAATTTGGAATACTCTTAAGGAAAAGTATCAGGGAAGCGAGAAAACGAAGATAAATTCTGTTAAGCAGTGTCTTGTGGAGCTGAAAGAGTTCAGACAAAAAGAGAATGAAACGATTGAAGTTTACTATGATCGTCTTAATGAAATGATCTATAATTGCAATCGTTATGGAGTCACAAGGTCATCAATGGAGTTCAATCTCACTTTTGTGATGGGACTTCGTAAGGAATGGAGAAGTGTCAGCATGATGGTGAAGAATCAACAAAGCTTCGATACTTCATCTCTGAATGATTTATATAATCATTTGAAAACTCACGAAAGTGAAGTGAATGAGATGTTTGAAGAGTCGAAACTTAGTTTGGGAGGTCCTTTAGCTCTTGTTTCGAAAGTGTATGAGAGAGAAGGAGTTGAGAAAGATGATTCTGATGAAGAAGGCTTTCTAATGAATTCTGATGATGAAGCGATTGCTTTTTACTCGAACAACCGAGTTAAAAAGTTTTTCAAGAAACCTTTCAATCCCAAGATGAAGCAGAGTGATGTGAAAGGAAGTTTCATTAATAAGTTTGTCAGTGAGGAGAAGAAGAATTTCGAGAAGAATGATGAGAAGGCAACTGAAGCCAAAATTGAAAAGAAACTTAAGGGAGATTCGGGCATTGACTGTCATTACTGCAACGGAGCAAATCATTTGGCAAATGATTGTATGCTTCGTAAGAAAGAAGAAAAAAAGAATAGGGTCAAGGAAGAAGCCTATTATGTTGAAAGATTGGAAGAAGTTCGTGCAAAGACGAAGGGGAAGTCTTTGGTTGCACGAGGCGAAGGTGAGGAAGATGTCACGTATCAGATTTGGTCTTCAGGATCTGATGACGAAGAGATGCGTAATCCGACACATGGAGCTATGTTCACACAATTTGAAGAGGATAAGGACGAAATGGTGATTGTTCGTTGTTTCATGACCAAATCAGGAGATAAATCACCGATGACAATGGAGTTATGTTCACATTTGATGATACTGTTGCTTACTTTAATACAATTGTGGTGTCTGCTAGTAATGAAGCTAAGAAACTAAACATCCAGTTGCTAGAGACTCAAAAATTGCAATTGAATAATGTGGAATTGCAATTGAATAATGTGAATAATGATAGGGAATGTCTAGATAATGAAGTTCGAATGTTACTTGCTCAGCGAAACATTTACTGTAATTCAGCAAAAAGACTTTATGCTAAATTGACTTCATTGCATCATTCATCTGAAATAAGCA